CTCTCTCTCTCTCTCACACACACTCACACTCTCACACACACACACTCTCTCACACACAAAAACACAGACACACACTGAGACACTCTCACACACACACACACACACACAAACACACACACTGAGACACTCACACACACACACAATTCTGAAAGTCTCTTCTGCTCATCAAGGCTGCATTTATTTAATCAAAAATACTTAAAAAATGTGAAATATTATTAGAATGTAAATCAGCTGTTTTCTATGTGAATATGTGTTAAACTGTAATGTATTTCTGTGATGTGCAGCTGTATTTTCAGCATCATTACTCCAGTCTTCAGTGATGCTGAAAATACAGCTGCGCATCACAGAAATACATTACAGTTTAACACATATTCACACAGAAAACAGCTATTTTAAATTATAATAATATTTCACCATTTTTTCACAATGTATTTATCATCAAATAAATGCAGGCTTGATGAGCAGAAGAGACTTCTTTCAAAAACATGAAATAATTTAAACTTTAAACTTTTGTCTGGTAGTGTATTATTATTATTATTATTATTATTATTAAATCCTCATCACCAGATGTGAGTTACCCCAGTTAGTTTGGAGAGTAGTCAGTTGTATATAATTATTGAATGAATTATAATTGTGAAAAAAAATGACGAAATCCTCCCCCCATCTGCCATTGGTCAGCACACAGATAGCCCCGCCCTAAACTCTCTCCATTGGTCGAGATCCTGGATCAGTGGATCAGTCTGTCACCTTCTCTTGTGTTTCTCTCTGCTTCCTGACAGACAGCGACTCTATATTCGCTTCGGTCGCTCTGCCTCACGGTCCACGTTAGTATCTCAGCGTCTCATGTTCTTCACCCATGCGTCTGTGCCGTGTGTCTGTCCTCCAGGGGCCGCTCTTGCATGTTCAGGCCGCTGTTGATCATGTGACGTGTTTCCCAGCATCCTCCAGAGATGCAGACTCCTCACCTTTCAGTGACAACTCACTTTTTAGAGATCAAAATAGGTCACCAGTGTGTCCCTGCAGCACAAAAGCAGTGTTAAGTCGCTGGGATATATTTGTAGCAATAGCCAACAATACATTGTATGGGTCAAAATTATTCATTTTTCTTTAATTTATGCCAAAAATCATTAGGATATTCAGTAAAGATCATGTTCCATGAAGATATTTTGTAAATCTCCTACCGTAAATATATATTAAGATTTTTTTGCACCCTCAGATTCCAGATTTTCAAATAGTTTAATAGCAGCCAAATTTTTTTTTTTTTTTATTGGTCTTACAAAAGTAAATAAAGAACTGGGGCCGGTTGCATAAACTGTTTAGACTAGTCTTAAAAAGTTAGTCATCTATTTTTTTTTCAAGACTGGTCATAACTTTTTTTAATCCAGTTATGAAACGGTAGATTGGTCTTGTTTGTATTGGAAGAGTAAGACTAGCTGATCAAACTAGTTCTTTAGACACAGTCTTAACATGCTGGCTGTGGAACTGGCCCCTGGTTGATTCAATAAGTATTGTATAGTATTTTCTTTACTCTTTACTTCAAAAACTGTGTCTAAAAGGGTAATATTGTGGTATATTTAGATGTGGGAACGCTGAAGGGCAAACATTTAGCATTCCAGCTCAGCATTGCCGTCTAATCAGCTAATATAGTCTTAAATAGCCTTCATAACACTTCATCTTTTATAACATGGGATTTCCAACAAATATATTCAAATATCTTGATTTTTGTCAAATGTTGCAACAAGAAAAATGACAGTTTTGGCCATACAAGGTAATGAAAAATATTTTTAGAAATACCTTAAAGTAACAACAAATGAGCATGTAAAGCAAATCTCTGTGTGCTCTCAGCTGTTCCCCGTGACCTGTGTGCATGTGTGGTCCTCTCTGCAGTGATGTCATCAGTGTGTGTTTGTGTCTCTCAGGATCTTCTTCCGTGTCGTCGATGATGAGTTTCCTCCGGAACGACGAGCTTCCCGTTCCTCCGCCCATCCCGCCGCGCCGCCGGCCCGAATCTGCGCCCGCC